GGTTAGCCGACCGCAAAACGATCCTGACGTATTGGGTTCGGTCGGATGACTGGTCCAAATAAGGTTTCCACTGTGGTAGTAGTTAAGTTAAATCCATCTTCCCGTTTAGGTACCCGCAAAATAGACTCTGCACGGAGATGAAATTACCTTGGAACAATGCGGTGAAATGTTTGATCAAAGTAGGATCGCTCGTTAATCGGTACACCCTATAGAGGTGGTCGGCGTCGGGTTAAACGAGTCGAAGAGTATCTGTACAAACGCGTAGGTGGAGGGAGAACGGTCCCCGTTGGAAGCCTCACCACAGAAAATCGTATTGGGGGACCGTTTTGAGTCAGACAGAGAGAGAATCGTGCTGGCTAACCGAAGGAGAAGGGAGAGAGATGACAGGGGAACGGAGATGGCGCTAGTTTAGTCGTGTACAGAGAAGGCATCGTTCGCATGGGCATGTTCGGTTGTGTTAGAGGTAGTGATGGGACCGACTTGATCTTTATCTAACTGGTTACGAAACTCTGTAAACTGATTTGAATATCCTAATTCGGCGGGGACCTTCGATGCAAAGTCAACAAGAACATGTATCGGTAGTTTACAGTTTTCCCGACTAATATTTTAATATCTAATTGACTTGGAAATACAGGTAGATTCGCAATGAGAGCTGAAAATGTTGGATTTAAAAGGTGGATACGAATTTTCTACACAATTGCCATTCGTACGACGTGGTCCATACGTGCTTGGGGTCACCAGGTTCGATTCGAAGAAACTACGAAATAAAATCTACACCGGTACTAGCAGCGTCACCAGGTCCAATCGGTTGGTAAATCAGCATCCCTGTCTCGTCGGCCCGAACTTGACACGCTGACATTTGATGAAGCCAAAAAGCGTGAACGAGCAATTGACACCGGGCCGCATGTTCTCTCCATCGCTAATCAATGAGCCCTCTCTACCTGCCCGGTTTAACCTGCCATCCTCGAGCAGGGGCACCACCGCGGCGTAGAGACTAAAACAGGCAGGTAGGGAGTCGAGTGTACTTGGACAGGTAGGGAGAAAGAGGGAGCGAGCGAATGAAGGAACGAGAGAGAGAATAGGAAGGAGAGTGAGAAGGAGGGAAAGTAGAAGGGGCCCCTGTACCTCTCAACCATCGCGTCCAGCGTCTCCCCTCTCACTCTTTCTCTCTCTCCCTCTCTCTCCTTCAGGCCGACTGGTCGATCTCAGTCTCGCGGGGCCCCGGGACTAAAATTCAGGACAGAAAACCGTCCGGTTAGTTCGAGCCTGCTGGCAGAGAACGCGCGCGTTTACCGCCGATCGCGAGTCGATCCTCGGTAAGGTGTGGCGGTTCGTCCGAAAGAGAGAGGAGAGAGGAGAACGGAGAAGATCCGAGACCCGTCGAAACGGGCATTCGAAACGAGCAAGAAGGGGCCCTGATAAAGGACAGACACACGGAGAGCCTCAACGAAAGGTCGCTTCACTCTTTCTCTCTTTTTTTCTCTCTCTCTCTCTCTCTCTCTCTCTCTCTCACTCTCCCACTCTCCCTCTCATTCTCTCTCTGTCGCGCCAACACGGGGCCTTTCTCTCTCGCTCACTCTCCCTCGTCCGCGTTTCACTCGAGCTCTTCGCGGAGGATCTCCGCCGTAAAGTCAGTATCCCGTGATGGTTAGGTACGCGCGAAACCCACTCGCGCCGCGTCGCTGACAAGTGAACACACGTATTGTATCGGAGGAGAACCGACCGACGCCGTTTTCGTTTGGATTTCGTATACACGCCCGACGGGATTTCGTGTTTGCCTCACAGCGAGACCTGTGTACAATACACGCCTTTTGCGCGCCTTTCCCGACAGACGTTCAGGGACCATCGGTACCAACACGAAAAGGGAAGCCCGCCGTTTGCGAGAGGTTGGAAAAGTGGTCGGTGTGCCAGCGCAGCTGTCAGACTCGAGGGGCCCAGGTCTCGGCCTCTGTATCGCTGGTGCCCGCAGCTCTTGTGTATATATACGTACAGGTACACAAAAGGTGTGCTGGACGCGTACTTGGGAACCACGTAGCCGGCTCTCGTAACCGTACAACTTGTTCCCCGGGCCGAGAAAACCGACGGGGACGGCCTGGTGCGCGCACCTAAGACCCGTTGCCTCGACGCGACGCGTTCCTCGATTTCAGCAAAAAAAACCTGCGGCCGTTTCGATACTCGTCGAACACCGATCCTCCTCGGTGATCAGTTCGTTCGATGATTTTTCGTTGTAATCATCCGTGGTGCGTCGTATTTTTGGTAATCTTGTGCATTGCTCGAACGTGGAACCAGTAACGGGGAATGTACACAACAGAAGTATCAAGAGGTTTAATGGACTCGAGTTAACTCTTCGAGGCAGACGAATTTAAAGAAAATAAAAATCCTAGTTGCACAGAATTTTTTTTTAATATAAAAAGAATTATGTAAAAATAAAATGGTGAACTGTATGACTGTGAGTAACTGCAACTTTTCGAGGTTGGTTAAAATATATCCCACCATGCATAAATGGTTAAGCAAAAGGTGGGACAGTTTTTAACCCATCTAACCCTAAAGAGTTAATTTGGGTTAGACGGTTTTACGGTGTTAGAAAAAGGAATGGGAATGAACGGCCATAGGGGAGTCGTTTGATTCTTTTCTAGTTTGATAAGGTGTTATGAATAATTCGGGAGTAATTCTCAGTGTGGAACGATGGAGAAATGTTTCGGTAACTGGAGACCACAAACAGATATCATTCAGTAGCGTGGAAATGTTTGGAAATAACGCGAGAAGTAGCAGTGGGATCAAGTTCAGTGCATTCTCTGTGAATCGAGTAGACGGATGAATATCGTGTCCTTTGAATCGCGTAGTATCTGTACGAACAATTTGCTTGCTATATACACCTATGTTAACATCTAATACTACCTTTCCACGGGCAAGTATACTTTCGTTCACCATTGTCATTTTCGTATATTCGTTCGGTAACATTAGCAAGGTCGTGAATGTTCGATTCAATTTTGAGTTTCCAGTAATCCTTTCGCCAGATGCTGACGAAAATCTGAGACATATTACACGAAATTAGATGCCCCAAGCAAAGCTAACGACGATAATAACGAACTCACCCGAAGAAACTCGAATGTAACAGCTACCGTCAAAGTTGATGAAAGCAGCAGATTTGAAAGTTGTAATCTTCGTTCGCGGGGGATGTGGTTGTTGCGCATTTAATTGAACGGTTCGGTTAATTGTATTTTTCGTAAGTCCAAACGATCCTGGTTTCCCCATCGAACGTCTTCCAATGACAAAAGGAAGAGAACGCCTTCCTCACGGACCGTTTATAAAGTGTTACTATTGCAATAGCATGCGCAGCCGGTCGGTCGAATGCAATTTATCGTCGAAAGAAACGTAACCCTTCCTGTAAACGGCTCCGTGTCTGTTGGTAAAACGAGCCTATTACATATTTACGGGGTACACGCGAGCGTATAAGATTTCGAAACGCGTGTAATGCATAAATAAAGAGAGCAAACTTATACCGTAACAGAAAACGCGTCCCGTATAGGTTCTCATACATCGCGTTACCGTGTATCGATCGACTTGAATTCAACGACAACGGAAATCGAGAGTCTGTCCTATCTCTTCCGATCGGACGAAACACTGTGTTCAAGGGGCAGGGACCACGGACTCGTTGAGAAAACTGGGAGAAATTCCAGAGACTAATTTCGTTCGTTAGTAATTACTACGAGTTAATATTTGTACGCGCTTTCTCCTGAGATCACGGCCGAGGAATTTTTCTGCATAATATATATTCGTTGAAATTAACCCGTGGAGAAATAAGTTTCACGGTTAAATGTTTGTAAAGAAGAATACAGGTAGAATTTACATTTCGTGGAGGACTCGAGTGGTGAAATTATGCTGATCGTGGGTTCAGGGTAATCTATTACGACGAGGAATAATTGATAATTCACCCGTGAAAGACTGACATTGATCTTCGACACGACGGCTTCCGGTTCCTGGGCCGTTTTCGCTTCGGATACACGATCGACGCGATGCAAGATCGGTGGGAACCGATTCCTCGCCCGGACGGATAACGTAGAAACGGGTTTAAGCGTGAAAGTAATTGAGGAAGTGGATGAACAGACAAGCTGCTCGTGTTCTTCGCGAGCCAGGAACGGTATAAGCTCGCCTCGCTCGGAAAATCGGTATTCTTGCTCGGGGGAAAAGTCGTCAGACACCTGGACGAAGTGGCAGAAATTTTCCACGTTACGCTTATCACGGTGCTGGCGCGTCCATTTATCGGCTTATGTAAATCGCTTCGTTTTTTTTATCACATTATGCAAAAAAGCGGTGGAAATAAATTCAGGGTAACGCTTTAGGAATGGGTCTAGTCGGGTTGATCGACGTGTAATCGTTAACCCCTTGCCCTACGATTTTCTTAACGTCTGCAGACTGCAGGAATACATTGTTGTCGCTGGTTTCCCAAAAACTGTATTTATCGCAACTGTATTTTTACTGTAAGAGTTAAAAATTAATATCAGCAACGTGGCATTTCACTTCGACTCAAAGAAAACCGAATAATATTCTTGTATGTTGAAACGATATTGAAATCGTTAACACGAGTCTGACTCGATGTTATAGAGCAAGGGGTTAATTACGTCTTTCGAGCGATGCACATATTAAGCGATAAATTTCATTCGATGAGAACGTTTAGGGGTTAATGTCAAGTACAGACGACGCATATATTAATCGTGTACTTCGATATGCAACAAATAATAAATGATCTTACCCCATAATTGAAGGCCGAATATAAGCCTACCTTTATCGAAAAATGTCCACTTTAGTGTCCCACGATCTTATCCTACATAATTGCCATACCTATAATTTTGCAGTTTCACCAGAAGTATAGATTTAATCGTTAACAAAGGGAGGACCGGTAGATCTTCCTATCGCACACAGACACGAATAATGTTTGTGAAACAAGTGATGATAACACGAAAGAACCTAACTCGTTGTCTGATCCAGAAACGTGAGTGATGGCCCTACGTCTGAGGAGCAGCAAGGATGTCAAGAAGAGCTCGTACTACGTTTGGTACCTGGGCGCGAGGGAGGCCAAGGGGGTGGACGCGATGCCCGGTGCCATAGCTTACCTGCTCGAGCGGGAACGGCTTCAGGAGCCTTTCAAGGTCACGCTGCAGGTGAGCGGTACCATTCCGAGATCCGGTTTCTCGCCCCGGCACAGCCGAAAATACCACGAAAAAGAGAATTTTAATTGTCGGTGGGGTTCAGAGTGGCGGTCACTTCCCCCACGGATACTCGCGATATTTTTCGCGACTGTTCGAGACTACACCGTCCGATCCCCCGTTCACGGGTGGCAGTGAAAGCAGTCCGCGGCTCGAATAAAAATCACGAATTTATGACCTCAGCCTACATACCGAAATCGCCAAGCCTCGACCTGCTGCTGCTGCTCGCGCGACCACGGTTATCAGCTTCCTCGGGAACGCACGTCACTTTTCCACGAAATTGCCCCCCTCCCAAAAAAAAAAAAAAAAAAATGAGAGATCTGAAGGCTTAGACCTCGGATTAATGGTCCATCGATCCTCGGGGATGACCAGAAGGTCGAACTCTGCGCAGCCTATCTGTATTCGCGATATGCAAATTTCAGGCTAGTTAGATCGGCTATATTTTTTGATTTGGAAGCGCGTGGTGTAAGTTTATATACACTGGATTTTGGACTTTTAGGCTGTTTTTAAGAGGGGTGTGGTCTGTTTTTGAGCATTTCTTGGAATCGAGGATATTATACTTTCGACTGAGCGAGCTATACTTCGAACTTTCGTTGCCTTGTAAAAAAATATCTTTGTAATTTCTTCGTTTCTACTCAACGAAACTGGTAGTAATGAACTCTGTAAAGATTAAATTAGCAGGCTCTAGCGAGAAGCGTACGCAGTCTATCGCGCTGAACGCGTTAACTGTATTCATCTTTTTACGAGTGGTTCACGCTCCAGGCATTAAAATCTCCGCGATATATGATTCTTTTATTCCACGCCGCAGCCCGTACTGTCTAATCCAATGTTAATGTAGTTTTCCGTTGAATTAACTTTCAATGGAATCGGTAATTGATAATTCGTAATGGGAAGTCAGTCTTCCATTATATGATCGATTTGCCTTGATAAGACACGTACCAGTCTACTATGTAGTGAAGGCTGATTAAATAAGCGCAATAACAAATTCGTTGACCCGAATCTTACAGAAACTAGCACGCCGCTAATACATCCGGCGCGGTTCGATATGGGAAAGAGAAAAGAAAATGGACGATACCGAAATTGTCCCGCGACCGTTAAACCAGCGTGCCGCTCGACATTCCCGTTGCATGTCAATTGAAATTTCCAAAGGGGGTTGCACGCAGGCTTAAAAAGGTCTCGTTACTCGCGATTCCGGCCGCATCAGGCAAAATTGCTGACACGATATTCGCATGGAAACGAACGATCCTTCTTTCGTGTTGTGCCCTGATTCCGTGGTAAATGGAAAATTTCGGTGTTACCGACATTCATTGCCCTCGAATTTAGTATCCAGAACCAAGCGTTCCGAAATCGATATCGAGGATATCAGACGTCGACGGTTATCTCTGTGTTCCTAACTCGAATTATTATGAAATAGAACTTTCTGTCTTTTTTAAAACAATGTAATATCAAACCGAGTTTTCATTTACATCTGTTAATTTAATGGTCGATGAAAGATGAATCTAAAAAGTGTATCTCACGTACGAAAGAAGCCCACCGCGTGGTTTAAAGGCCACGGAAACAAAGGTGTTCTTATCGTACAGCCGGGATCTTAATGGATGCGATTCGAGGTGGATTTAGGCGGCGAGTACACGTATGTGTCTTCTCAAAAAAGAGAAAAAAAAAACAGAAATATTACGAAATCTCCGGGGCCCGCCTAATTATTGTGCAAGTTTAATTGTCGGTGGAGTTGCGAGAACGCGCTGCTCGCCTTGAGAATATTTTAGCACCCCGAATTTTCACGAGGCTCGAGACCGCCTTAACGAACCGTCTCGGAATTGGAACGAAAATTGCGCGTGATTTTCTGCGGTCAGCGTCGTGGAAACCGCAGACACGAGGACGGTCGATCATTTGCTCCGCCATTTTGGAGAACGCGTGCTCCTGGATTTTGTAATTCGAAGTTACATCCCGAACACGATAGTAGGAAGGATTTTGAAGGAGGCACAGCTCATGCTCCCAGAGGCCGGAAATTTTCTACGCGTTTCATAATAAATTATAGGATATTGGTATTTCGATCGTTTCGTTTTCGCACTTTCTCCGAACGAGATTTATGTTTAAGCATCTCCTCTCTTCGTGATGTAAAATTTCGCATACTTTATATACTCCTTATCGCCTTTCTTGAAGAGAATTTTATTTCCTGCAGTAACATTTTTATGATCGTACGCCAAAAACAGCAGATTACTCATCGAAATTCGCGATGGATTCTCATGGCCGTTAACGAAACACACCGAGCCCGGGTAATTTCAATGCCTCGGGCGGAACAACAATTATCGATACGCTCGCACACACCGTTGTTCCTAAAAGCACGATCGTAAAATTAGAGAAAGTTCTATATTTTTCTAATATCGTGTTCACTTTCATCGTTCCGCCGTTACTATTATTTGCTTTCGAAAAGGAAATTGCGTTTCCACGCGTTCGTAGGAGGCGGTGTACAAAGCATTGTCCCGAGGAAAGACTTTCCTTCTTAATGATAAACGGAGTCGCTTATCGAACGCGGCTATTTGCAGTCACTGAGCATCAATCGCATAATTTACAAAATGCTTAACCAGTCATTCGATGTAACCATCGAGATTACTTAAAATTACTTTAAATGCTGATTCTGCTCGGATATCGTCGTCAATTTGTTCTCTATAATCCATGCTCTCCGAAACAATACATCCGAGTGACTAACCGCTTATTAAAATTCAATTCAACGAACCGAACAGCGTATTACGAGCGGCACGATTTGCACGTTTGAGCGTAAGAACGTTGCATTTTCGCGGGCACACGCGATGGTCGTTCAGAAGAATCCTGTTTTATGTCCGGCAGGTGAGCAACAAGGGTCTGAAGATCATACAGACGGTACATCTGGGAGGTTCTACGAGGTCGGCCGTTAAACATTTGGTACCAGGACACGCGGTACTTGCGGCCGTGCAACGGGAGGACGTCGTCGCGGCGACTCTTTTGCTACCGAATCCGGCTACCAACAATCCTGTCCACGTGCACGCCTACAGGTCGCTATAAATCCAAATTAATTCGCAACAATGCGGTGTATTCGCACAATCTAATAACAGATACTAATAACGGGCAATTATTCGCGGAGGTAACTACGCATCGTAAGGTTCCCAGATGATTCCGTGACTCGTTAATTCAGGCTGGTAGCCTCGTTAGTCGGGCTAACTCGTTAACGAACCGTTTGGCGTGGTGTCAAACCATCTACAAAATACCGCCGGTTTCCCTTCCCCTCAGAGTAACACTGTTCCATCGTTGAGAAAGACGGTACGCGGTGGGGAAATCGATTTCCGCGAGACAGTCTCCGGATAATCCGATCCACCTCGATACACAGAGTCTCGCTAATTAACGACTCGCGCGCGATTCTAACGGGTCGATAATAATGTTCGTTTGCGTTCACACGTGCCGATGACTGTATCCGCGGCAGCATCGCGAACAGGCCGCGAGAACAGCCTTGCCATTGAAAACAAAATCACCGTACGTATGTATATGCATTTTCATTCGTCGTCGTATCCGATCCGTGGGAAAACGGCTTTTCCGTCGGCGTAATCGGGAAATTATACAACAACAACAACGGTCGTTGAATTCAATACGTGCACCGATGGTCCCGATCGGAACCAGGTAAATGGCTCTCGCCAATGGGACCGTGATAGTTCGGTGACCGCGATTTCTTCCCGAGTTCACGGAGAATATAATAAAGGTCGGGAAGGAGGGCTGATTACGCGATGCGCCGCGATAATTGTGCTTGATTAGAAATTGAAAGATCGTTCCAGAATAACGGGGAACGACGACGGGATGGAATGAATCGGTTTGGATGATTGGGTTGCCAACGCGTAGCCGTGTCCCTCACCGTGATTCGGATTCCTCTCTGACTTCAGATGCGACTCGGTCGAGACGGCCGAACTATTGGGCAGCCAGCTGAAAGCACTGGCGTCGCACTCGGACAATTTGGCCAGAGTTACCTCGCTCGAGGGCCGAGTACGTAGCAATTTGGGTAGCGATGGCAGGAGTACCAGAGAGTCCGAGTCCTCCGAAGGCAGTGGTGAACTCAGACACGATCCCGTGCAGACCACCACGATATACGAGTCTTTGGCGGCCGAGTTACGCGCGAAATTAGGTAAACATTCGTCACAGAAAACTGTTCACCGACTTATTAATACAGTAATGGTAATAAAGTTGGTATCGCGACTACGGTTGCCGATAAAACTTCTATCAAAACGACTGCAAAGACTCCGACTATGGGTCCGAGTATTTAAGGTTCTAGTGGGAATAAAATGTCACAGGGGGATCGGTGTTAAGTAAAAGATATGCTTCCTGTTCGTCCAGGCAGAGGGAATTCCGGGGACAACGACGTTGGACCGATACTACTGCCTCCGCGGGATTACGATACGGTCCACAGACACCGTGGCAATCTGACTGGCATCGAGTTCCGGCGTTGCCTGAATCAAACGATCGTTGGTGGTAGTACGACGATTGACAGAGGCGGCACGAGAAGTGCTGCCAGCAGCGGCATAGGCTCGGACAGCGCAGCTACGCCCCCACCTTATCAGAGCCATCATCCTTTGGGCCCGAGACCATCCAGACCATCCAGAGATTCTTCCTCGGGTAAGTGGACTTTGTTAGACCTCGATCGTGAATCTAATTTCAATCATTGATCGGTAATTTATAACCTGTGTCGAATTGGAACGATCTTATGGTTGATTTTCGGGGAATGTTAACCCTTTGCAAACCGATGTCGTCGCTGTGGCGAAATCTACGTAGAAGCAACTTTGTATTTTTATACATTTAAAAATTAAAATATTCTTCACTTTTCCATCGGGACCTCTACTGTCACATTGTATTATAATTGTGTGTTAAAATTAAATAGTCCTGGACTTGCTGGTATGTCATATTAAAAATTGTTCGGAGTACAAAGGGTTTAATTCTAGTTCTAGCTACTAGATCGGTGGAACATTACAAATAAGGGGTACCGTATTTCCTGAAATGATTCTTGAAACTGTATCTGAAAATGTCGCAACGATTACGAGTCATCGATGGGCCAGGTAAGGATCGATTCGGATTTACCGAAATTTCGGAATACTTTGTTCAGCAACTTCGTCGCGGAACACTTTGGAAATGATGTCACGTCGCGTCGCGGCGACACCGAAAGAATTTCATGACAAAATAGCCGCCGAGTTGCGACACCACGGAGGCGTGTAGCGTTCGCGGCGATTCGACAGTCATGCTGAGCAAGTGTGAAATTTATTGTGAATGAGAACCGGGAACGAACGCAGAATTCACCGTGACTGCGATGCAAATGGCGCGTTGCTGTTCAACGCCTCGAATCGACACGCTTACGGGCGTTATTGACGACTGTGTACAGTATTATGTCAGCTGAGGCTGGAACATAATTTCGCGGAATGACGCGCTCCTAAATTTCGATCGAATTATATCGTTCTTGCATCGAACCAGAGATGGGAAAACTCATTATCTAGATAAAAAGTTTCGAATAACGTATAAACGATGAAAAAAGTATTTTGTCGTTTGTAGTTGTTCAAACGTCGAAATTTCAATTTTTATAATAAGATAATACTTCTTTATGAATGAATCGACATTTGTCGAACAATTATTTAATCTCATTAATTGTTTAAAGCTCAGGACGACACCCTTAGATACTGCTGCTTTTCACTGTGTATTATTCGAATAAAATTCTGCCCAACTCTGTATCGAACACATTACGTAACAATGATTAGGTATGGAACAACAAAATATACTCTGCCTATTCGAACGAAGCTTCAACGTACGTCTACCTGCCCCGATAATTGTTTCTATTCGGTCCCAGTCGCACGACGATTAACAAAGCAAATTGCATCACGCTGAAATTGACTTCTCTGTTGTTCCTGGGTATTTCGTTCAAGGAACAAGCGTTTGCTTCACACTCGTCTGGGCAGGAGGATTGTCGTGAGTCGGTGTCGGTTAATTGCCCCCGTGGAAAGTGGTCCAACCGTTTTCCTAAGAAATTAGGCGATCCGGGTGAACGCGCGCGCCATTACACCGACTAAGCGATTGCACCGGCAGATGCTGCACGAAAGTGAAAGTTTTCCCTCCTGGTTCTTTTCCTGGTCCCACTCAGGAAACGATCCTTGCGTCCCCATAATAATTCTCCACGACGAAAACAGATGAAGCGTGGAGGTTCGCGTTTCCGCGAAAGAACCAGTCGCGGATATTTATCAAGTTACGCGGCGCGGCACCACGCGCGGCTCTGTCACGTGTAGGAAGCTTCAAATTATTTATACGCCGCCGTAATGACGGAAAAATGCGTGACAAATTATGGAAGGAATGACAGAGTGAAGTGGCAGGGTGTAGTAACTGAAATGAATGGCTGGCAATAACGTAGGATACTTCCTGTATGTTGCTAGAACGTTAACCAAAATGATTACCGAGACCTGACAGAGTGGAAACGAAGACCTAACATAGGACGTAAAACAATGAAAATGATACATTTACGATAGTTCGATGAAAATAAAAGAATCTGACTCTAAGTCCGGGATTCATAGTCACTACTTATTCTTAAGCATTTGCGTAACCTCTTGCCCTATAACATCGTCTCAGACTCGTGTTGACAATTTTAAAATTGATTCAATAAAGAAGAATATTATTCGATTTTCTTTGAGTCGAAGTGAAATTCCACGTTGCTGGCATTTATATTTAACTTTTACAGTAAAAATATAGTTGCGATAAGTACAGAACTCCTTTCGTTTCTGGGAAACTAACAACAACAATGTAATCCTGGTTAAGAATAAGTAGCGAATATGAATCCCGGCCTAAATCGCCGAAGGTTTAATTGGAAATTGCCTCACGGAAATTCATAGTGTATGACAAAAATTTGGACGCTTTCTACCTGCGTACAGGTGGCCGCGTGTTCCGCCTCGAATCTTATCGGAGCTCGTAGAAAACCGGGCAGAAGCCGACCCCGTAACCCAGTTTTCGTTGTCGGCTAAACGAAAAATCGTTTCTTCATCGCGCGTCGCGAACGTCTTCGATTTTTCTTTCTCCTCGTACGAGTGCTCCGTGTTGTTGCCGCGCTGAATGCAAAACCGCCCGGTCTAATAACAAATTCGTTCGTCTACTTTCACTCCGATCGTTCGGGAGAACGATCCGCGCAATTGACGAATCAACCTTGCGCCACGGAATGGTTGAACGGGTTTGACCCTACCCGGGAGAAAGTTCGCGATTTTGGAAAACAACATACCGATCCGAATCACAATTATCGGTCTCCTCTTTCTCATTTTTGATTCGTCGTAGTTGCGCAACGATCGAATTCCACCGCCATTTTCGAGCTAAGCTTCTCAGGAACGATTCGTATTTGCTGGAAGAACCAAAGAAACCACGACCATTGGTACATTCCAGATTCGAAACGATACGCGGTATTTTCCGCGGCGTCGAACGGTACTACTCGCCAGGATATCCAGAATTGAAACAGGATTAAAAGGGAGACGATTGGGACTTCAAAGTCATCCGCGATGCGCGTCCACATTGGGCGTGACTTCCTCCCGTGGAACATGTTTTTCAACGGACGACTGACCCATATAACGTAAACGAATAAATTTCGTCAAGAGGGGAAAAAAAGAAGTAAGATATTCCCTCTCTCTCTCTCTCTCTCTCTCGTGGTCCACGGCGCGGATGCTGCTGGGGACCTGACTCGGCGTTAACTATACGTATATACAGGTGAGAGAGAAAGAAAGAGAAAGAGAGATTGTATTGGGCACCTGTTACAGTGGAAGGAATACCGTTAGGACGTCGTGTCTGCGGCAGGTACCGGGCCTACGGGTATACACACATATATCTTTCCAGACTCCACGATGGTACCAACAGGCAAAAATCAAGCTGCTTTGACACAGAGGATGTCGATCCGTGCTACTGGAATTTGTACTCGACCACGACGATCTGTTGAGCTAATTTACTGTCTACCGGCTGAAGCTATCGGACGAGTGTCTTGCGGAATGAAATATCACTGATTATACCGTTGAGCTTTTTTAAACACCGTTATCAATAATGGAAACAGTCCTCGGACCAACCTGAAGTATTAATTCAAGATTGTCCGTAGGATGAAATATTAGGAATTTAGACACTGGACAGGGATGAAGCTTGAAAATTTCGCAGAATTATAGAGAAGAGATCCGTGAAGATTACAAGAAAGAATTCTGTTGGACAATTGCCCTCCGCGTTAAAAGGTCGCGGCGAGTCGTTACGCGAAACTTTAATGCGCGCTGGAAATTATGGGTGAAAATCTCTCTCGTGGATGTCCATGCTCGTCGCACAGAACCACCGTAGGTTCAACGTGTGTTACTTTATCTGATGCAATTAAACCAAGAGGGGATTAGGAGTCATTCGGCAGATTTACAACCTTAACGCGAACATACATCAAGCTGCGAGTTCTGTTATTTTCTAGTTGAACGTGCTACTGACCGACTAAAGCCACTTTTCACCGGCGAGAAAACCAAAACGTGGATTTCCAATCGTCTTTGTACGCGACAACACGGTGATTCCTTCGGTTTTCGGCTCGAGACACCGATTCTAAACGCAAGAAATCTCGAGTACTGCTCTTAAACGTGGTACCTACACAGGGTGATTAATAAATGCATGTCAATACTTCAAGGTGTAAATCTACACAGTGATATAAGTAGAGAAACGTCATATGAACATATGTCCTGTATACCTTAGTTTTCGAGTTATGGATGATTTAAGAAACTGTTCAAAATGCACGATCTCAATCCATTAGACTTTTACTTTTAGAGCCATTTAAAAATTCTATTCTGCAGTCAAGGCAAGTGAATAATGTGGACGATCTGCAGGAAAGGACATCAAATAGATTTGAGACTGTTCGAAGAATACCTGATATTTTCGAGCGAGTGCGGAACTCAATGTTACAGCGTACAGTAGCGTGTGTTGAGGCACGAGGTGGGCACTTCGAACGTTTTCTTTAATCATCCATAACACGAAAACTTTTATTATTATTAAATCTAACACAACGCAACTTTTATTTAATACTGTATAACTGTACAAGTTAATTATAGTACGTCTCTCAATTTAAATAATGACGGTTGTCAGCGAAACGACTGACCGATTCAGAAATCGATCCTCTAAGTCAGAGGCATCTTCAGTTACAACGCGAAGCCAATTTCGTGGCTTCGAACGTCATAACAATACATATAGGACAGATCTGCACATGACATTTTTTACTTATATCAGACTTACTTATTTATGAATCACCCTGTACCTATCTCGAGCATAAAAAGTGTCAAATTGCAACGGTTTGTCGCGCGTTCGCGGACGTTCAAAGGAAAATCGTGAGCCACGGTTTGACGTTATATCATCCGTCTTTCGCGGGCCACGGAAGAACCCGTTTCGCAACAAGTGTCTCGGGGACACGATGCATCACGGGGATCACGATTTCCACGTTCGTATCTCCATATAAGCGCCGTCGCTTCTCTCGCGGCCCACCACCTCGGCGTAGACCGCGAGATCTGGCACACTTTGGCCGCGCCGAGCTCACGATTTGCGTATGTATCGGTGCCACGCGCCGACGATACATCGCGTGAAACTATCCCGAGCTTCCCAGATTCCGTACGGCGATTAGCCGATTAATTTATCGCTTCGTTGAGTAACTGCTCCGCCATGGACGTGTTGTTGCCTCGTCTCGATGGTCCTCGGGTGCCCGGTTCATCTCTGGCTACGTTCGAACGCGTTCGCGTGTGTCTCGTTTCTTTTCTAGAACAAAAATCCGTATCAGTTATTTATAAACCGTACTCGGTAATTTAAAGTGGGCCATCGATGGTTCGAACGCATATAGGGGAAAGGTGTCTAAAACGATCCCTTTAAGGCGTAATTTATATAAAAAATATAAATGTTCGTTATTTAAATAAAAGTAATGTAGTTTTTGTGAGTTAGTCTATCTATCTTATTATTGGCTTAAATAAAATTTCGCTACCTGATTAGTTAGACTTTTTATTCACATTTCTTTGAGGGGATGCTTAAGGATCATTTCGTGATGTATGTAATACGACGAACATTGAAAAGCATTTCATTTATTACATTTTATTTAAATAAAAACAGCTTTGACGCATTGTTTTTCTTTCATACTGACGGGGCATTGTTGTAACTAATACAAAAAAAATCAATAATATAGAATATGGGTAAAATGATTCCTGGGATCATTTTATCTTAGTAGAAAATTATATGACCCCAAACATCCAACTCACATTCAGTGGTTTAATATAACCTCAACTTATTACATGCGATAACGAACCATTAATAAACTTATTATTTAATTGTGGTTAAATCCGCGCAAGAAACAGCTGTCACATTAAACCGTTTATGACAAAAGTTACACAACATTGAAAAAGACTTATCTTAGATAAATTGTAGTAATTTAAAATTTTTCTTGTGGACAACACACGAAGCACTGATATTCACATGGCACTTCGAGCAACGATTAGTGACTATAGGTGGTGAAATATAGCACCACTAATAGCCACAGGTCAGCCAGTAATAATTTTACCCCGAGTGATTGTTTTAGACACTTTCCCCCTATATACGATTCCACTGAAAATCGACCATTCGAATGATTTATCAAAATGTTCCGGTACTGAAAAGAAATCATTGAAATTTATTCGATCGTCTCTCAGTCACAATCGATCTCGAACTCCTACAATTTCGTCTGACTAAAATTAATCGAGATCCCCTTTACAGAGCCACGCCAGTGAATACCAAGCTCTTTCTACTCCCCTGAAAAGCGACGAACAAGAAGGTTGCATTACCCAAGGCGATGATATTAAGAAGATCCCAGGCTCTTTGCCTTTTAACTTTTACCTAGCGCACGCGCGCGCGCGGTAACAGCATTCCGTATCCCGGCTCGACGTTCCACGTTCTCGATTATTGCGCAAAGGAGCTCTCGAAAGGCACATTTCCATGCGGGAGTGCTCTCGCGCGCCGGCGCGTCGCGCGCGAAACCTCTCGTTACCCGTGACGATAATCACTGTGATCCGAGTGGTAATCACTGGACGACGGTAATGATGATGACGACCAGGCTTGGACGTCACTGGTCGCGAACCGCCTGAATTCGTGTGCAAATCGACCTCGTGTGAGGTCATACGAGGAACAAAGTTCCGCATTCTCGGCCCACAGCCCGGGGGCTATTTCTCCTCGTGTCTTTTCGAATCCTCCTCCCCCTTCCTCCTCGTTTCCAGCTTCTCTTCAAACCTCCATGACCTCTTCCGCGGCAGATACTCGGGCATTCCGGTCCCCTTGATGTTGCAGGTTCTTTGATAAAAGAGAAACCGCGGCTTTTACCTTGACGACTCTTGACATTTTATTTTCCTTCGCGATTGCGGTCTGTCCAGTACACCGAGCGAACGGGTTCGATCACTTGATCGGGGTTTAGCGGTGTTCATTGTTTCAATGAACACCCTGTAACTCGAGAACGAACGACAGACGGGAGAGCTTGATGTTTGTCGTTTCGATGACGGGGAATTCCGATGACCATGTTCGAAGGAATCAGAATTCAAGGGAGGACTTTGGAAGTTGAATATTTGCTAGAATTTTCGTAGAGCCTAGATGATCACCGGATCTAAGTCGGATCTACGGTCAATTTTAACGTTACTTCAGCCGTTCATTATTCTCGTATGTCAAAGGAACCGAAATAATGACACGAATTCGTTTCAGACGACGACTGGGGAGCACCAACAGAGGAGAACGAATATCTCCCCGAGGCAGAGACAACGACCACGAGTTTAACGCTGCCACGGCTACCGAGAAGCCCGGAAAGATTGCCGAGCCAGGTCAACAGAGGCGTTTCACCGAGTTGCAACAGAAGCCGCAGGGCTCCAGAATTCAGGCAACGATCGCCGAGCCCTCAATACCAGCCCAGAATGAGCCCCGGCGAGGTGACCAGTCCCAGGGAGAGATTCCAGGATGCCAAGGAGATGTTCCGAGCAATGGAGAGAGAGGCCATCGCCAGGCCTGTCCTTTCCAGGCAGAGAGAAGTTGAAAGTCATCCCGTTCACAGGTAGAGCGCAAATATTTCTCTTGGTTCACCGTTTACCCTTCTTTGATCCGCGCGTGTACGACGTGTTATACTTTCTTCGACGAAGAACCACAAGTTCCGAATAAAATAACAACTTTCTCGGTTTGAAATATTTCAATTGTCAAAGTTACAAGCTCCAGATATCGATCGAACGCCTAGCCATGAGTCATAAAAAAATTCTGGGATATTGTTGGAATTCTAAACGAAATACAAAAGAGAATTAAAAGGCTATAATTTCATGATCGAGAAACTATGTTACACTTTCAGTCGAGACAATTTCGAATCGAGTCCCAATGTCGCAAGAAAGTCCCGAGACCTTAACAACGTCGTCAGATTCGTTTTCTAGCCAAGAAAAAGTGGATTCTGCTGAATGAAATCCCGGTTCCACTTAATTTTCTCCCGGTCGACCAGATCGACTAGTTTTAAAAGGCCACGTATTATCCATCGCGTTCGGTTTTTCTCCGCTGGCATTCGTTTTTGGGCCAGCAATCGCCGTGTGTCAGTCCCAAGTAAGAGCCGTCCGTCCAGCCGCACCGCGAACGGTGTCTCTGGTTTCCAATGTGCCCACGATTCGACCAGCTTTCGGTTCATAGAGTGACAAACGTCCCTGTCGATGGCGTGCGCATACCCGACGGCGATTCGTTTCGCGGAAAATCGGTTGGCAGAAGTGGCGCGTGTTTGCAAGTAGAACGAATTCGGAAGTGGCACGCCATCGAATGAATTCCGATTCACCTGTCACCGAGGTCACGCTAAAACTTTTCCGTCTAATCGTGTCTTGCCAGTCGAATCGTTTCATTAATTTTCATTATGAAATGATGATTCAACATAGTGTCAGTAGGACGCGTAATAGATGCCTAACGTAGACGAATATTAATAAATTTGGATGCAATAGCTACGGTTATTTCACCGTTTTTTTTTTTTTTTCTTTTTTTTCTGTCCACGACAGGGTCGAGTCGGCCAGGCAAGCCCACGATGATCATCTGGGAAGACACCATCCAGTCATCAATAGTTCGACGACTGGCCACGAACACCTGATCAGACGGAATCATTCGGAAGTATCGGAACGAGAGAACGATATTCCTTACAGAGCTCGGCCACGGCCGCGAACCCATCATTATGCGATGGAACGCCCACCGGAGCAAGAGGTCTCGAGGCCCCGGCCGAGAAGCTGCTACGAAAACCCGTCGGTTGGACGGGACTTCCGAGATCAAAGGAACGTCGTCGTCGATCCGAGAGAAGTAAGGGGTCATTGATTCCACGATGAGCTGTTCTGCTTCGTGAACGTTCCTCAAGGTCTTTCGTGCCTGAAACCCCGCAGGAGAGGAGTCAGACTCGGGTCCGGATTGGTGCAACGACTTTAACGTGAATCATTGTTACTAGAATGATATTTAACCTTTTTGTTTACTGGATATTATACCTATGCCATTTGCGATCACAATTTCGTTGCACTAATACGGATCATTATATCGTGAGGATTTTACAGCTATCTTCTTACTAATTGAACCGAAAATTTACTATATCTTGTATTGAATATAGGATTGAAAATAGCAATCAGAGAGATCTATTCGGAGATTCTAAACGGTCTGTGAGTGTAGTATTTTCTACGAGAATGGCTGATCCCTAACTGAAATGCTAATTGCTGCTCGCCTCGGTAAAGAAAAGGGAGTGTCTGGTAGCCTTTTGTTGACTTTTGCTGCACTTTTGTCTGCCCGCGAATTCCTTGGAACTCGACTAGCAAATATTCTTCGCGATCAACGTATCGTTACGAAGTCACGTACTAAATTTCACGGAGATATTAGTAAGTCACGTAGATGTACAACAACAAGAGTCAGCTCTTCCTTGAAGATTCTTCTACCACGAAAACGTCCATAACCCTGAATCCCGTGCATAAATCGTGCATTTCAAAGGTAGTTCATGAAACATCCTATGTTCGAAACAAACGAAAAGGAAATTCGAAGTATTGAAATTACTGGAATAAGTAGAAGCTAATTGTCCCGCATACCTGTTCTGCACTTCAATTAATTACAAACAATAGAATACGTGTTATAATTGAGCTTCGACGAGCCGCGTTATTAATTTCAATAAGGCGATCTAATGCTATAGGTGCAATATTGAATTCGAACTCACGTGCAATCGACTTTTGTCCACAGGTCCGCGACTTCCGGGATCGCGCGCACGTGCGGGAAATACGTGAAAAGGTGCGGGCCAGGGCGACAACTTATCAGGAGCTTTCAGAGCACGAAAGATATCCTGGTCTGGATCGCGAAAGCGCGAGACCACCCCTCGAGATCGTACCCACCCCAGGAAGATACCGACACAGCTACGCCGAGCCACCGAGACTCGGTCTGGCCGCGCTTCATCCCTACTGAGCTATCCGCTCGTTGTTAACTAATAAATTATTTAATTAATCGACGTATGCGTACTATTCGACCGTCTCCGAGCAGACTATGCAGCATTCCGACAGATCCGAGTGGGAAAATAAACCTCCTTTAGAAATATGTTTATCATATATTCCAATAGGGTTCGAAATCGACTCCTGATTCTGTGTAAACGAAGTTTTTAGAAGAAGTATTTTACGATGGGGAAGGTGTAACGTTGATCTGTTTCAGTGAGATAGTGACTAGAACTGCCTTTGACAGAAATTCTATCTCGAATACAGTGAGATAATGTTATTTTCGTGGAATGTATAAGCTTTTAATGAAAGTCTGAATTAAAGTAAAAGATGATTGCTGTAGTGTATAATTAATCGAGGGAAGCGTGAATTATTTGACGTATCAGGAATTCGTTGAAAGACTTTCGTGTGTCTTATTGTAGTAAGTCGACACTGTCGAGAATGCTGTGCCCAGTCAAGAGACGAATGGAGATTAAAATTTCTTATTCATTTTGTATTTACGTGGTTCGTTGCGCTGTGGACCGAGATCCTCGAGTCGAGGATCATTTGTTGACTTTTGAACGCGACTCCGTGCACTATATTGTTACGCGCCGGATGCCAGACTAACGATAATGATAGGAATAATAAGCAGCTGTAATACTGACAGTAATTGTAACAATAATAACGGTTAATAACAAGAAACTTTATTGTTCTTTCTGTTCGCCCTTTCATGCATCCTGTATTTTCACAGAATATAACATAAGGTTAAATTCACAAGTATCATTAAAATCAGCGGTTGTAATTTATAATATAAAAAGAATATTTAATGATTCGAATGTGAATGGCATATCGAAATGGTCCGTAGTAAGTGCAATTTGTGTAATATAACTGCAATTTATGAGCCTAGCCAAGCAAAAGGTTTGCTTGTAAATTCGTGGCACGATGGACTGTAGAAAACAATGGTCGTCAAATATGCTATATAAATCCCAGAAGACCATGTGATATATGTTTCATGCAGCTAGAGACGCATCTCCGAACGTACGATGCAGTTGCACTCGGATGTATCTTATTTCCCTTTGTGTTTTCGTAGTCTTTGTTACATCTTCCATTCTATTACCCTCAGACACAGTCGTAAGAATGGATTCTCCGTTAAAATTGTCGAAAATAGAAAGTATCGTCGAGTGTAATTATTCAATTGCTTCGAGAAGTAAAGAAATATTCTCCTTTGACGCTTCAGTTGTAACACGATCTACAGATTTATAGCGGCGTTATCTTAATTTACGCTCTAAAAAGGGAACCGGCATAAAGCGTTTCACGGAGATTAATTATCCGCGTGACTTCCTTCATCGGAATCTTGAAAGAATTTCAATTTTTTTTATCGTACGTTCAATTAAATAATACACCGCAACTCGACGAGGCCTTTCTCCACTTCCTCCTCCGTAATGACTTTCAGACGAACGACTTTCCCGTTTAATTGAAACTTAATGGAAGTTAAACATTTTTTCGAAAGTCCAAGAACCGTTTAAAGATTACATACATGGTGTTACGGTACTACATACATTGAAATAAAGCATCTTTATACTATAAAATATAGACCTGAAAATTGGCGATGGCCGCGAATTTCACGTCTAATGCGATGCATCGATTAATTTTATCGACGAAATGAATGTTCCCGCGGTCTAAGTACAATCTGACTCATTAGCACAGTCTCGAGCAGGTCGAAAATTTCTCTGATAAGGCGCCGGGCACACGTCGAGACGGATCACGTACAGTGGCTCGTTAAATTGCTTTCATGGTTAACGGAGCAGGAAGTCGCCGGTTTGCATTGTTTCAGTGCCTATAGTTGTTGCACGAATAACAAATGAATAGAAAGTCTTTCGTGCCGCCGAGCAAATAAATCTCGAGCTCATATGTTCCGTTCCTTTTTTTTTTTCCATCACATGCCTCAATTTGTTGCCATGCGTCGCTGGGAGAAATTAAAACTCGTGGTGAATCATTGCGGGTTTCCTGTTTTTTTTTTTTTTTTTTTTTTGCGATATAAAAGAAACATCCGATGATAGATATCCTCTCGTTTGTCAACGTGTGACATTTAACCTGCTCTTCTAAATTAATCGAATGTCCTGATACATTTATTTTACGATTAAACGTTCTGCTCAAACGTTATCACGACTCGAAGGTGATGAAAATTAGATTCTCACCGAACGATTTTGAAATGATCACACGGAATTTCTATGACGAAAAGCAACCGCCTTGGATCGCAACGGGGACGTTCGACGCGTAAACGATATCAATTTCCCTCGATTTCTAATGCATCTCGGTTTTGCCCTGTGGTTTCCCTTCGTTTCTCGGGGACGATGGAATTTCGCAAGTGTCGACCAGACCGTTGCGTAACCGGCCGCGAGGCGAAGTGATCGTTTCTTAAGCCGAAAACACCGAGAGACATCGATGGCTTCTCGAGACCGTACAAGCGTTTTCTTACGGGCAGAACGAAGTAAAGCATGAAAGATTGTCCGCCTGAGAGGAAGTTGTCACGGCTCCCTTCGTTTCTCCCTGACGAAGCCTGTAATCGCGTAGTAGAACGTTACTCCATTCGCGGATCGGCTCTCTGCGCTTGGGGACCGTTAGAGCGGAGACGAGGGGAACGGTACACCGTGGAATGGGTCTGGTTGTCGCGTGTAATGAAATTCGCACGGCGGGGTCTAATGTAATTCAGAAATTTGATTACCGTTGCGAGACCTCGTGGTAATACATTCCGAGCGACGAGCTACCTTGCACGCGAAGAAACGCATGTGAAGCAAACGGAATTGAACAATTTGACGATACAGGTAAGACAGGTGAAACTGGAGGGATAGAGCAGAACAAGCGTGAATGAATTACTGTTTTGGAACAGAATTGATTCAATTATTAGCAGACAAGAATATGGATACCAGAGATTAACCCCTTGCCTTATAACATCGAGTTAGACTCGTGTTGACGATTTCAAAATCGACGCAACAAAGAGGAATATTATTCGGTTTTTTTTTAGTCGAAGTGAAATGCCACGTTGCTGGCATTAATATTTAACTTTTATAGTAAATATACAGTTGCAATAAGTACAGAATTCCTTTCGTTTCTGGGAAACTATCGACGACAATGTAATCCTGGAGTCTGCAGACATCGAGAAAATCGAAGGGCAAGGGGTTAATGGTATTCGGTAGCATTCGGAAAATCTTTGATCTCTGAAGCTTAATAACCCGTGAAGGCCACTGCTCTCCGCAGTCTGACGGAAATACAGTCAACGACAAAGAAACTAATCCAAGAAAATCTTCAGCTTCCCGTCCCACTACCAGGAATTTCTACCTGTAAAAGAACATAGATTTCTATAGCCGCGGTGTGTCTACTGTGTCGTGCCTCGATCCGTGAGAGAAACAGATTTACGGATTAAAGAAGTAACCTGAGCGAGCCTGTGTGTCTGTGGTCTCGCACAAGAATAAAGTGGATCCCCTTCTCCCATAAAGGGACTACGAACCTGCTTGCTTCTCTCGATGGCAGTGACCTGTTATAGAGGGTCTCACGGGCCGCGTTTGCCTTTATGCTCACGTGCGATGCTTCTCGGTTAAATGCCAGCCGTTGCGCAGCTAAGAAACTCGCGTTACGATATGATTCAGCGTTTCGTGAACGTGGTTCCCGTGAAAATCTATGAGAAACTAACCTGTAGCATAATCATTACGCTCGAGTGACTCGCGGGAATACATTGTCGAACCCTGAGCCCCAAACTACACGTTCGAAAATTTCATAATTCTAATTGTTGGTCGTAACGTACCTAGTATTATCTGTCAAAACACGAACTTCGAGTATGAGACCGAGCTTTTGAAATATTGCCAGCTGTGAATATTGAATATCGTTGCGAATCATTGTGTCATCGGTTGGAAAAGGTCGACAAAGGAATTCCAATAAGCACGTCGCATGAACTACACGCGCGCATTCGGATTCGGTCGGAACTGCACGTCATTCAATGCTGCTTTCGCATGAGTTTCATGCGTCGCGTCAGACCGCCATCAATAGGCACACGTCGATGTACACTGCAAGCTACGACCCGCTGCCTATCTAAAGGCAGAGCTACGTGACGGAAAAACGGATACTCCGTGTCGGAAGTTCCGTTGCTCCCGATGCGCGTACGAGAAAGAATTTTTCTAGTTTCTCCCCCCGGCACTCGGCCCGGTTATGAATATATTCCACGTCTCAATGCCTGCCTGTTAATTATCGTACACCGCGAACATTGTAAAAACAACGCTGGATTCCGTGAATGCTTCTGCTGACTTTCGAAAGTATTTAAATCGCTGAACAATTATTGAATTACCATGAAATCGATGTTAGAAGCGAAATCGCGACGACGAAAGTAGCTCTCGAGTTTCCCTGTTTCTGAAATGATGTTTACATTGTTCGTAATTAAAGTTAACAAAACACGAAGCTTACCGATTGATTACTTCTGTGCAGTTTATAATGTTAAAGTTTTGTAATGTAAACTTTGATCATCGAGAGAAATATCTTATTGACCGACACCCGTTAGATTGGCAAAGCACAAAGGTTTAGCGTCGACCGCATTAGTAAAAGTGAACCGCTACGCCACCAATATATACACCTCATCTCGTGTTCCTAACGCCTGCCGTCTCCCGTTACTCTAATCGGCCGGAGATTTCAATGCGCGCATGTGCCCACAGGACATGTCTTTTCGGTCGCGCGCATTGAAATCTCTGCTGGCCTGCATCTTCGAACATGCGCAGCTAAAGAAACATTTATGCGTCAACTATATTGTGTCTAATAAACATTATTAACATCGTACAGTTCTCCAGTTTCGCTGCTACAACAAAAATTAATAACTTTTCTTAGAGACATAAAAATAGCGAATACTGAAATTTACTTTACGACAGGCAACACGATATATGCCTCAGCACCTGCGGCTGTCAAAGTAAATGTTTACCGAGTCCATTGATCAACACTCGCGGGTTTCGCTCGTGG